CCCTAGAGGGAAGCCTTTCACGCCGATGCCTCTTTCATCATCTCTGCCCATCTGGTGCTCACTTTAAGCTCGCAGAGCACCACCTGCTTGGAAAACAATGAACTGGTGCGGTTCCCCGGCTCCTGCAGACCAGCCGGACCCTCCGGGAAAGGTGCGAGGCAGCCACCCCCCCCCAGCAGCAAGCCTTGACGCCCATCGTGTGTGCTGTGTGTCCATTCAAAAAGCGATGGTTATTGCGTGTTTACCCCTCTGCCCACCAAGGATGCTGATTCGAAGGGAGCTATGCAGTTTTTCCCTCAATGACTTGCTCCAGAAGAGCACGTGAAACACACACCACATCTGCAGGGATGGGGAAGTGGGCGAGCGCTCTTGTGCTCCCCCCTTTCTCACCAGCCACAGCCTCACCAGCACCGTCTTTCTCCGATTAATCAAGGATGAGGGATGGATAACTGGGTAAGGGCGGTTAGCAGAGCAAGTCCCCAGCAGCAGCAGCAGGTAGCAGGGGGGTGCGCGCACCCAGGAGCGGGGCGTCAGGCCCCCCACTGCGGTGGGCGATGTGGTGCAGCCACGGACATCTGCACCGATGCCACCTCTCTAACAGGTCTGAGCAGAAATGGGAATCGAGCCCATAAAAACCATCCGCGTTCTCCGGCCACAGCACCAGGGCTGATGTTCGGAGACATCACCGCGTCTGGAAATGATTAGATTCCTTCCAGTGACTGACACCTGCTAATAACCTGGAAGATGGGTAGAGGATACTCACATTGTCATCTCCAGCTATCTACAGCTTCATTTTCCATCATCTTTGTCACTCAAGGACAGCAGCAAAGGATATTATTGCTACTGGTATTGTTATTGTTATTATTTAAGCCACGCAGCCACGGATCTGCAGGTATCTGGGCTGGGCTGGGCGGGCGCATTACACCGGTAGATTCTCCTTCAGATCAGATGGAAATTTATGGTGAGGATTATGTATAATGTATTTTTCTATTAAATTAAAATAAGCTTCCCTTTACAAAGTTCAGCGTGTTAACCGACAGCGGGAAGGACGGTGGTTTTCACCTCACCCTTAGCCACAGAGTCTGCCCCACAGGGAAGATGGATGGATGGATGCTGACTCCCAGGGAAATACAATAATATCCTGTTTCCAATGCTGAGCTGTATTTCTGGACCTCCTGCCTCTCCGCATAAAGCCTATTAGCCACTCATCAGTGCTAAAAAAAAGTAATAAATAAATACGCCAGTGCACAACAGTGCCAAGGGCAGGGAAGTTAAAGGACATTATAACTCTTTAATTACATCAGTCGTGGAAAGAAAAGAGCTGTCATTCCCTCCTCCTTCCCTCCAGGGAACACTTGGTATCTACCTTGGCCAGAACCCCCTTAGGAAAGTTGTCGCAACATATGTCTTCCCTGTGATTCATGCCAGGGATGGGTTTAGTCCTGTATTAATATTCCCCACCCACTATTTACCGTGCTTGCATACACACACAGATACACACAAACATGCCTTTCATCTCTGGCCTTGAAAGAGTTGGGGAGTGGGGGAAGAAAACTTTAGTTAAGCTTTCAAGATAAGAGAGTCCTGTGCAAGTCACCGGCTTTAGCCTGCAGGGAGGATTTTCTTCTGAGAGCACCTTAAGGAGGGTTGCAAGGTGTGACTGCAAAGAAGGAAGCCCTCGAGGGGCTGAGGACCCTGCCCTGGGCAGCGCCACCGAGATCAACACCCGCTAAATACCAGCAGTCAGCGCAGCACGCGCAGCCCGTCCTGTACCGCCCCGAGACGCCGAGGATGCAGGGAGCCATCAAAGAGCATCCCGCGAGCGCCGAGTGTTTTTTTCAAACAAACATGTTTTAAAATATATATTTCTCCCTGACAAAAAAAACAGCCTTTGTAGAAATGAAAATGGTTGTCAAAAACCCGTCGCCCACCTCCTAAAATATCCCATTACATTTCTGTATTGAATTTCTTTTTTATCAGGAAAGTTATTGAAATAGTGATGGGAACAGCCAATAGCGCTTTCCATTAAAAATGTATCACAGCATTTTGTGATTTAAAAGCAAACAAACAAGAAAGGCAATATGAAATGTTAATGTGCACGTGAGCGGGTTTGATTTCTGTTTGCCGTTTGTTTGTCAAACATTTTCAACTATCAATTAATTATCAAACCCAGGCCGGAAAGCTGGAGCCTGATCCGCACACCCCCGCAACTCAAGCGAGCATCGCCGTTCCGGTGAGAAGGACGCGCAAGTCAGGCGGCCGCCGCTGGCAATCACCATTTCCCCACCTGGCACCAGGTTATGGGGTGGTTTTGGCAAAGTCCCATATTGCTGCACAGAAGAGCAGCGCGCGATCGTCCTTTCCCCCCTTTGAACCAACTCCAGAAGAGCGATGGGGCTGCTGCCCATCAGCAGCTCCCAGGTCACCTTGGAGGCGAGCCCATCGCTCTGTCTTGTCAGAGCCGTGTCACGAAGCCCGAGACATCTTTTGCAGCGGTCTCCGACCCCGAAGGATGCACCGCTGGAGATGGGGCAGGTCCCCTAAGGGCTCTGCGAAGGGAAAGGACCGGGAGGTGCCTGGTTCAGCCCCACATCCTTCGCTGCATTTTCCAAAGCCTTTGCAAGCGCCAACATTTACTCCAAAAGAAAGGGGGGGGGCGGCGGGGAAAGAGAAGAAACCATACGAGCCGAGGCGGGCGAATAAGGAGATATGGCAGAGTCAGGAGGCAATGGCCCAGGGGACCCATTAACAAGATTCCTCCCACACAACCTCCAGGAGCCCAGACCATCAATAAAACCCGCTCTCCTCCCCAGCCAGCCTTGCGTGGCTCTGAACTTTCCGGCTACAGGCTGCAGATTGGATTCTTCCGTCATCACCATAAAAACAGATGAATCGTCCACGGCTGAGGGACCTGTGATAAGACAGGACCCTTTAGGCAAGAAGCCACACTTCATAAAACCAGCGCTGCCGTTCAACAAGGGCTGGCCCTGCGCTGCTGGGGTGGGCGCCTGGTCCCCCGTGCTTTTCATGCCGAAAAAAAGGGGGGCTGGAGATCACCCACCCTCTTGCAACCCAACAGCTCAACGTGGCTGTCTAGCGACACGGCACACCCCAGGGCGACGCCTGTGTCGCATGCTGCCTCCGTCCCTCCCTCGCCAGGGCGTGCGAGGAGCCTCCTCACCCCAAATTTCTCAGGAAAAGCTACAGACCTTGCTCTGCTCTTTGCTGCGGGAACCCAAAGCACTGGCCAAAGCCATTTCACCGTTGGCTCTTCCAGAAACTAATCCTGCAAGGGATGGGAAGAGTGCACACCCCATCCCGGTCATGGGTAACGTGTCTCCTGCTGCGAGCTCCAGTCCCTAGAGGTACAACGAAGCATCGCCCTGCTCGTACTCACGCTGCGATGCTGAACCAGGGTTGGTGCCAGCGAGGCCCCAACTGAGACATTTCTCTCTTCCCACAACTCTGGAACAAACAGGGGACCCCAGAAGCGTTGCTGGAACCACAATCCCAGGCAGGATAGCCATGAAGAACGCCTTCCAAAGCCAGCAAGAAGCTCAAGCAGATACAGCCCAGGCTCTGCAAGGAAAGCATTTCTTCCTGTTTTGTTTTGCTTTGCATTCTCATTGCCAGGTTCATTATCAGGGCCCTTATTCCTGCACACGCTTCCCATTTTTCTCCCTCCTATCTCTCCGCGTCCAACGCAGCAGCCTGTATTAGTTTATGTTAACAAGCTGTGGCAGCAGTAATCCTGGCCTCTCCTTTTGCTGACCAGGCACATTGTTTGTCTCTGCCGCCTGCGAGCTCCCACCTAGGTGCAGTTCCCGGTCCCCTGAGCCTTCCTCCTCCACCTCCACCCCAAGCATCCCTGCGGGAACCACGCTGGGATACATCCCGTGCCCAACGCTGCGACGGCACTGCCGCTGGTGGGCAACGCAGTCCAAGTTGCAAAACCATTTCGCCCGCCCTGCTGCCGTCTCTGCAGAGCGCCAAATGAACAGCAAAGCTTGTTTTCTCCCCAAAATAGACTTTTTCTTCCCTGCTGCAGAAACAAGCGTCACCCCCGTGGCCCCGGCGTGATGGGCAGAAGGACTCGCTGCCCTCTCCTTCCCACCCCACCCCTGCGGTGTGACAGCCTGCATTTGTCTTTTCAGCTTTCACGTCCCTCCTCGGCCCAGGTTGACAGCAAACAACACTTGGGAAAAGAAGGGGGGGGGGGGGGCAAAAAAAAATATTAAAAAAAAGGCAGCTGCCGTGGTGGAGAGAGGGGGTGAGGAACAAAGAGATTTCAATCACTGCTCTGCTCCGAGGGCACCATCGAGCTGCCCGATGTGTCCGGGAGGGGAAGGGAAGGCGAACGGCAGGGGAGTTTGGCCATCACCCCAAAAATGGGGTGCCTGGGCTCAGCCCTTCTGCCGAGGGCATGAGTCTGCTCTTTATCACATCAAAGCCCCTCTTCCCATGCCAGCTCAGCCGGCCCGGGCTGGGTGCCGGACCCTCTTCACCTCCGCTCCCTTCCCGAGCCGGGAGGGATCGGACAGCCCCAGGCAAGAAAATAACCCTCCGTGCTCCCCGCTCCAGCCCAGCGCCGTGCAAAGCCTCGTGCCGCCGCACCAAGACGCCGCCGCGGAGCCCCGCTGCGCTAATGGCGGGGCTTGGGTTTAGTGCAAGCGCTTAACGAGCGGCGGCGTGTGCCGCTGATTAACAGTGTGGCTCTCCGAGGCCAAAGCAGCAAAGAAATTCAGTGTAAGAGTGCAAACAATTACTCCTTCTAGATAATCACTGTTTTACAGTCCAGACGCATGCATAAATATTGCATAATGCCGGGGCTCAGCACGTAATTGGCAGATATTATTCAAACCCAGTCACTACTTTATTGGCAAGAGCGGCGAGCTTGTCACACCTCAGGGTCAGCGACTGGACGGCTGAAGGATTTTTCAAGGGAAAGCTCAGGTAACGCAAGCAGCAGGGCAGCCGCTCCCCTAAAATGCTGGGCAAACTTTGGCGGAGCGGTCGCACGCTCACCAGCCCGTGTGGGGACTGGGGGAACTGGGGGTGTTCAGCCTGGAGAAGAGGAGGCTGAGGGGAGACCTTCTCGCTCTCTACAACCACCTGAAAGGAGGGGGTAGAGAGGTGGGGGCTGACCTCTTCTCCCCGGTGACAAGCGATAGGACGAGAGGAAATGGGTTCAAGTTGTGCCAGGTGAGGTTTAGACTGGATATTGGGGAAAAAAAATTCACGGAAAGGGTTATCAGACATTGGAACAGACTGCCCAGGGAGGGGGTGGATTCGCCATCCCTGGAGGTGTTTAACAAAAGGGTAGAGGTGGTACTTGGTTTAGAATGTTTTAGACATTTTTAGAACATTTTTAGGACATGGTTTAGAAGTGACTTTGTCAGGGCAGGTTAATGGTTGGACTTGATTATCTTAAAGGTCCCTTCCAACCTCAGCAATTCTGCGATCACGGGGAAGATGCTGCTGGCCAAACCCCGTGCCGGGGGCTGAGCTGCGGCCGCACGCCACTTTGGACGGGTCTCCTTCCCTTCCACAACCAAAGCTGTTTTGTTTTGCAAACCATCTGCTCGGCGCCCCGCCGTGCCGGCAGCGGCGAGGGGGCCCAGATGGCCGGGTTCTTTGATAATTCTTTAAAAAACGAAGCACCCGAGCACAACGGGACCATATGCCGAAGGGCCGGCCGGCCTCGGAGAGCCGTCGCACAACCCTCCCCTCCTTGGCATAGCCGTGCAGGCAGCGTCCTGCCCGGAGCCCAGCATGTTCTCTCACCTGCCGAGGGCTTGCAAGCATTTCCAGGAGCTGCTGTGTCTCTGCCGAAGAGAGATTCACGCAGTGTCCAGCCTGCACACCTTGCACGCCAGGTCCTGATCTCCCATGGGCTACGGGGGACACCAGGTATCGCGCAACCCTTGAGCTTTCCAAGATGGAATACGGGGTAAAAAGAGGAGGGTGGAGAGACGAGACTGCTTCTTTCGCAGCTCCTAGTTTAAACGCAGACACCTATACAATTACTCTGCAGAACAAGCAAGGCTGGACTCGGCTCAGAGCTCCTCACGGACAAGCTCGGTGGCACAGGAGAAAACCATCTGCTTACGGGCAATAAACCTCAGCTTCACCTCCAAAGGCACACGTCTCCCAGTTTTGCTCTGGCACTCCAAGAAACTTTCTCATTAGAAGGAAAAGGCAGCCTGAGATTCCCGTGCCACTGCAGGAACTGAGGCTTTCAGGAAAAAAAAGAAAAAAAAAAAAAACCCAAACAAACCACCTTGCAAAACCCACGCCACAATCCGATGAATTTTGATACAAGCTGCAGTGAAGGATGGCTCTGTGGGATTTCAGATAAATAAAGGCACAAAAGCCGGAGAGACTGGACTGACACCTTTCAGGCTACACTTTCCTGCCCTTACAGCCCTGAATATCAAATCCTCCCCATCGCCAGCACCCCGAACCCCACGCTCCGGAGAGCTGGTGGAAGGGACTGATTCCCGGCGGGGGAGAGATAACAGAAGCTCCCCAAAGCCTCTGCTGTTTATAGAGCGGGGATGCCAGAGGAAGGGAAACCCCTTTCTGAGCAGTTTGCATTATCAAAGATCGCTGCTGTGGTCCCACACTGCTGTCCCAGCACAGGACACAGGTTAAACTGAGCAGGGATGAATGGCAGTAGCGAATAACGGGGCTTCAGTAGCCTGACAGCCCAGCTCCCGAGCCGCCAGCATCCCCCCTGGATGCTATTCTCAGTAAAAATCAGCAGTGAGTGTCAATAAGGAAAGAGAGTACATCGGCTTCCAGAAAGAGTGCGGAAAAAATGAGTCAGAGCAAAGAAAAAGCTGCTTTAGAGCACGAGCGACCGCCAGGCACCTGCGTGCAGCGAAGGAGGGTCTGCAGGTATCACAGGCGGGCTGCGAGAATGCTGCTGCCCGGAGACCACCCGAGCTGGAGGACAGCCTGGGATGAGCAAGAGATTTGGGGAGTTCAGGGCATCCTTCCTCCGCCTTGGCCAGCCTGAAAGGGGCCAGAGATGGAGCACAGAGTGACAGAGAGAGGACCTCCCATGCCACTGCCTCCTAAGCTCCTCTTCTCAACGTCAGACTCACATCTCATCTGGAGCGCAGTAGATGAGGGCTTTTGTTAACACAAATCACTGCCTCCGACAAAGCCTGAACCAGGGCCCACAACTGAAGCAACCTAACTGCGAATGTTGATAACTTTATCATCCGACAAGGCATACGTGAAACGCTTCTCTTTTGCTAATGATACGCTGGAGAGGCGGTGAGCTGAGGCGGGACAAGGCGCCCGGCCGGCTGGTAATGAAGAACAATAAATAGTGCACAAAATCAGCCCCGAGTTCCTTTCAGCAGCCCTTGATCAAGCAGCGCCCCTCCAAATAATGAAAATCTTGCTCTATTGTATCCATGCAAATCACACGCACCGCTTGAAAGTGCGTGCATTAATAACTTATCTGTTGGGCCAATAAGAAAAAAAGAAGTATCGCATTATCTTGTCCACTTAACCATCAGAGCAGCCCTGAAGTGTATTCATTCACCTCCTATGATGCTTCCAGCTCCGCTCCCAAGTACCGCATTTGCCGCCATCCCTGACGGATGCCCTCTCAGACTGATGGATGCTGGACCCATCCCAGAGCCAAGTGGTGAGTGAATGGGCACAGGACCGGGTCTGAAGCCTTTAGGGATAACCACGACTGCCCTGCTGCTGCCTTGGGGGAGCTCTGAGCATCGCGAAACCCACGTTTCCACCCCGAAGGCAGAGGGGTCCGGCAGCCTTCCTCCCCGCCTGGGCTACTTTAAGGCTAGCCAGCGAAGGATAATGTTATCCAGGCGGAATTGCACAGGGGAATTCAGGTAAGCAGACTGTAATTAACCGAGCTGGCACGTCGCCACGTCCGACAGATGTAGGAACGCACCTTGAGAGGAAGAAAAAGATGAGGAGGAGGGAGAGAAGAGCAGAAGAGGAGCGATGGCTGCCCAGGGTGCTCGGCTGCTCCCTGCCCACGCGCCCTGGCAGGATGCAGGGAGATGGAGTGGGCGCAAAGGACCCTGCAGCACTGCCCTCCTCCTCCTCCCCCTTGGTGGGCAGGAGGAAAATCCCCTAGGAAATGCAGGCAGAGACTTTCAAAAGCCCTGACAGCAGGTAGGAGCTGGAGTTTGGTTGTCCAGCATCCTCGGGCAGAGATGGCCAACAGCACAGGCACACGGAGTTGGAAACGGGGAGATCTGTGCTCCTTTGCTGAGGAGGCTCAAATCACAGCTTTGCTGTCAGGAACACCATGTCCAGCTTTCAGTAAGCAACCAGAAAGCAGGATTTGTGTGACTGACCTGGAGCCAAGCAGCAGTAATCTCCTTCCAGCCCAACTAACTTCCATGTCAGCCCCACTCCTCCAGAAAGAGCTTAGAAAGAAATTTGCCCAGGCAAATGCCCACAAATGCACGTCCTTGATTTGTTCCGCTTTGGCCTGTCTCACGCCAGCACCCACACCTCCGAATCCCGCAGGGATGAACCTCTCCATCCCACCATACCCAAGGTGACGCACCTCCCCACCCGAGCCCGGACCACATCCCTTATGCGAGGGCATAAGAGCAGCACTGCCTCCCATCCTGCCCCAGCAGGCAACGCCACCTCCAACAGCCAGGCACGACTTTTTCCCCTTTCTCTTTTTGCTTTGTTTGATAATTTGACTTTTCCCTGCTCTGCCTCGCAATCAGATTGGCAACGACTCACAGCAAGGGTGGCTCCGCTCATTTCAGATGTCAGAGCCGGCGGTAATTGTGGCACCCACTTAAATTTATGTCAACGGGAGGAAGCCTTTGTATGGAAGAGAGCTCACCCTGCCAGCGCCGAGCCTGGGAGAGTCTTCGCTCATCATCTCCGGGGTCTTGCTCCTGCCTTCCCACCAGGCACACGAAGGGGAACACATTCCCCAGCTTGGTCCTGCTCCGGGAGCCCATCTGGGAAGGACAGTAGCCCTGACCACCCTCTGTCCTGCTGCCTCCAGAGCCTCTCCCCACCCTGCACACCTTAAACCGAAAAAAAGTAGATTCTTATTCTGCACACAGACTCCCAAAATCTTCCCCTGCCCTCTCCTCTCGCAGAGAGAGCCTCAGCTCAGCATTTCCAGATGCAGGAACGTTCCCCTCTGCGGGGATGTGCCAGGAGAGGGAAGGGAGCCGGCGAGGGAGCTGAAGTCGTCCCAACTGTGGGGAATTTCGCTCTCCAGGTGGGAGCTTTGCCCATCTGCAGCAGCAAACGGGTACGGCGGGGGCCGGGCGCGGGAACACGGCATCCTGCAGGTGGGACTTCTGCGCCAGCACTTCGCCACAGCTGCCGCGCCGAGCCCAAGGGCACCCAGCTGCTGGAAATGCTCCGACAGAGCTGCCAGCAGCTCGTTATCCTGCAGGAGATGGGCCCCGGCTGGGAAAAAGGGTCTGAAGCAAGACGGTCCAAGAGTTTCCCAGGAGGTCACCTCCCCCCCTGCCACCCCTTTCCTTCAAGCAGAGTGACACGGGAGGGGACCAGGAGCAGGAGGAGGGTGAAAAGCCTTATCAGCATCCCGGCCAGACAAGAGGTTTTGCAAGTGCCAGTCTCCAAGTGGCAACATCCCCAATGCCAGCGCTGCCCGGGAGCCACCGAAGGCTTCACAACATCACATCGTGTGCTGTCACCTGGCTAGAGGCTCCTACAACAGAAGAACAGCCGTCTCCTCCCCTGTGAGGACAGGTCCAAGGGGACTCCTGGGGCAGTCGGACCCTTCCCCAGCACCGGAGCCAGCTCGGTCCCCGCATTCCCCAGGGGTGGGAACACCATGAACACAGGCAGGATGGGGCTCGCCTGCACCCCGGTGGCATGTGGGAAGGGGTTGTCCCTTGCAGGTCCCTTGCCTCCTCTCGCACATGGGAAGGATGCAAGCACCTAACTCCAGCTGCAAGGGTGGATGGAGGAGGACGGGGAGAAGCAGAAACCTCACGGGGTCAGGCAGAGTTTCCAGCCACCCCAGTGTCACATTTGCTACC